CATCATTTGTATCAGTGAGAGGAATAGTGACCCATCGTTGGTGTCAGTGGGGGAAGTGAATAGTGCCCCATCGTTGGTATCAGTGGGAGGAATAGTGCCCCATCGTTGGTAGCAGTGGGAGGAATAGTGCCCCATCGTTGGTAGCAGTGGGAGGAATAGTGCCCCATCGTTGGTAGCAGTGGGAGGAATAGTGCCCTATCGTTGGTTTCATTGGAAGGAATAGTGCCTCATCTTTGTTATCAGCGGGAGGAATAGTGCCCCATCGTTGGTGTCAGTGGGGGGGGGGAATAGTGCCCCATCGTTGGTGTCAGTGGGGGGGGGGAATAGTGCCCCATCGTTGGTGTCAGTGGGGGGGGGGGGGGATAGTGCCCCATCGTTGGTGCCAGTGGGGGGGGGGGATAGTGTCCCATCGTTGGTGCCAGTGGGGGGGGGGGATAGTGCCCCATCGTTGGTGTCCGTGGGGAGAGTGGGGGGGAATAGTGCCCCATCATTGGTGTCAGTGGGGGGAATAGTGCCCCATCATTGGTATTAGTGACACCAATGATGGGGCACTATTCCTCCCGCTGACACCAACGATGGGGCACTATTCCTCCCACTGACACCGATGATGGGGCACTATTCCTCCCACTGCCACCAACGATGGTGCCCCATCATTAGTGTCAGTGTGGGAGGAATAGTGCCCCATCATTTGTATCAGTGAGAGGAATAGTGACCCATCGTTGGTGTCAGTGGGGGAAGGAATAGTGCCCCATCGTTGGTAGCAGTGGGAGGAATAGTGCCCCATCGTTGGTAGCAGTGGGAGGAATAGTGCCCCATCGTTGGTAGCAGTGGGAGGAATAGTGCCCTATCGTTGGTTTCATTGGAAGGAATAGTGCCTCATCTTTGTTATCAGCGGGAGGAATAGTGCCCCATCGTTGGTGTCAGTGGGAAGGGGGATAGTGCCCCATCGTTGGTGTCAGTGAGGGGGGGGGATAGTGTCCCATCGTTGGTGCCAGTGGGGGGGGGGATAGTGTCCCATCGTTGGTGCCAGTGGGGGGGGGGATAGTGCCCCATCGTTGGTGTCAGTGGGGGGAGGAATAGTGCCCCATCGTTGGTGTCCGTGGGGAGAGTGGGGTGGAATAGTGCCCCATCATTGGTGTCAGTGGGGGGAATAGTGCCCCATCATTGGTATTAGTGACACCAATGATGAGGCACTATTCCTCCCTCTGACACCAATGATACTTACCTTGCTGACCCCTGCTCTAGCCTGGGCTCGCTCCCTCTCCCATCCACAGCCAGCATACAGTTGGGCAAAAAAGTATTTAGTCAGCCACCAATTGTGCAAGTTCTCCTACTTAAAAAGATGAGAGAGGCCTGTAATTGGCACCATAGATAGACCTCAACTATGAGAGACAAAATGAGAAAACAAATCCAGACAATCACATTGGCTGATTTGGAAAGAATTTATTTGCAAATTTTGGTGGAAAATAAGTATTTGGTCACCTACAAACAAGCAAGATTTCTGGCTCTCACAGACCTGTACCTTCTTCTTTAAGAGGCTCCTCTGTCCTGCACTCATTACCTGTATCAATGGCACCTGTTTGAACTTGTTATCAGTATAAAAGACACCTGTCCACAACCTCAAACAGTCACACTCCAAACTCCACTGTGGTGAAGACTAAAGAGCTGTCGAAGGACACCAGAAACAAAATTGTAGACCTGCACCAGGCTGGGAAGACTGAATCTGCAATAGGCAAGCAGCTTGGTGTGAACGAAACAACTGTGGGAGCAATAATTCGAAAATGGAAGACATACAAAACCACTGATAATCTCCCTCGATCTGGGGCTCCACGCAAGATCTCACCCCGTGGGGTCAAAATGATCACAAGAACGGTGAGCAAAAATCCCAGGACCACACGAGGGGACCTAGTGAATGACCTGCAGAGAGCTGGGACCAATGTTACAAAGGCTACCATCAGTAACACACTATGCCACCAGGGACTCAGATCCTGCAGTGCTAGATGTGTCCCCTGCTGCTTAAGCCAGTACATGTCCGGGCCCGTCTGAAGTTTGCTAGAGAGCATTTGGATGATCCAGAAGAGGATTGGGAGAATTTCATATGGTCAGATGAAACCAAAATAGAACTGTTTGGTAGAAACACAACTCGTCGCGTTTGGAGGAGAGAGAATGCTGAGTTGCATCCAAAGAACACCATACCTACTATGAAGCATGGGGGTGGCAACATCATGCTTTGGGGCTGTTTCTCCGCAAAGGGACCAGGACGACTGATCCATGTACAGGACAGAATGAATGGGGCCATGTATCGTGAGATTTTGAGTGCAAACCTCCTTTCATCAGCAAGGGCATTGAAGATGAAACGTGGCTGGGTCTTCCTACATGACAATGATCCCAAACATACCGCCCGGGCAACGAAGGAGTGGCTTCGTAAGAAGCATTTCAAGGTCCTGGAGTGGCCTAGCCAGTCTCCAGATCTCAACCCCATAGAAAACCTTTGAAGGGAGTTGAAAGTCCGTGTTGCCCAGCAACAGCCCCAAAACATCATTGCTCTAGAGGAGATCTGAATGGAGGAATGGTCCAACATACCAGCAACAGTGTGTGCCAACCTTGTGAAGACTTACAGGAAACGTTTGACCTCTGTCATTGCCAACAAAGGATATATAACAAAGTATTGAGATGAACTTTTGATATTGACCAAATACTTATTTTCCACCATAATTTGCAAATAAATTCTTTCCAAATCAGCCAATGTGATTGTCTGGATTTGTTTTCTCATTTTGTCTCTCATAGTTGAGGTCTACCTATGATGCCAATTACAGGCCTCTCTCATCTTTTTAAGTGGGAGAACTTGCACAATTGGTGGCTTACTAAATACTTTTTTGCCCCACTGTACCTGTCTGCAGCAGCATCATCTGCAAGGCACAGACACTTATCTGTTAGCTGTCTTCCTTCTCCCTCACTCGATCTTCTTTGATCTTTGCGCTGCCGCTCAGCTCCTCCTCTCCAAGCTCCGCCTCCTCTCCAGTGATTGGCTGCCTGTTTGCCTTTCCTGAGCTACAGTTTCGGCGGCCTATCACCGGTGAGGAGGCGGAGCTTTGTGAGCGACAAGCTGCCATAGGCTGTTGAGTGATCCCGGGGGTGTGGCCAGATGACAGGGGCGCATGTGATCCCGCCCACACATCGTGATCCAGGGAACTGAGGACATCGGACCTGCTGACCTGACAACCTCTCTACCCCTCCTCCAGCAGCGCCTCGTGGACCAGATCGACGTGGGACTGGGCCACGGAGTCGCGGACCCAGGTAAGGTACAGCAGCCCGCCCCTATACTAAGTGTCCCTTCCGTGAGAAAGGGGGGACCGCGTTGCCGCCCCCCCTAAAAAGTGCCGCCCTAGGCAAACTCCTTGTTTGCCTTGCGGCAAATACGCCCTGTCTACAACTGTCTTAGCTCCTAACCCAATGAAAACAACCTTCTTGACCCCTTACAGGCTAGCTTTCACTTGCAGCACACCACAGAAACTACCCTACTACAACTCACTAATGATTTACTAACTGCTAAAACCAATGGTCACTACTCAATACTCTTACTGCTAGACGTCTCTTGATACGGTTGACTACCTGCCCCTTCTCAAACTCCACTGCCTTGGTCTCCAAGATTCTGCTCTATCGTGGTTCTCCTATCTATCGCAGTGCTCCTTCAGTGTTGCCTATAACTCCTCCTCTCCACTTTCTATTTTTGTAGGGGTCCCCCAAGACTCTGTTCTTGGACCTCTTCTCTATCTACACCTCCTCTTTTAGTCACTAGATAACCTCTCACAGCTTTAAATACCACCTCTATGCCAATGACACCCAAATCTATCTCTTTACTTTTCACCTCACCCCTTCAGTCTTCTCTTGCATTACTAACTTACTGACTGACATATTAGCATGGATGTCAAACCACTTACTCTAACTAAATCTCTCTAAAACCAAGCTGATAATAACACCCCCCCCCCTTTCCATGACTTTTCCATCAAGATCAATAATGCAGTCCCAAAGTTCATGCCAAAGTTTAAGATGTAATCCTAGACTTTGACCTATTCTTTCGGCCCCAAATACAATTGCTGTCAAAAGCTTGTAGATTTCATCTCTGTAACATCTCTTACCCAGTAGGCAAGTGGTTAAAGTGGAACTTCACTCTAAAGGGCAAATTCTGCATTATGCCCTCCTCCGCTATTTTTGGCACTTTTTGGTGGGGTGGCGACCTTTGATACGGTTGACTACCTGCCCCTTCTCAAACTCCACTGCCTTGGTCTCCAAGATTCTTGGTGGGGGGAGCAGGTACCTGGTTTTGACAGGGCCCGCTCCCTCTCCTGGTCAGATCACCATGGTGCATCTCTCCTACCTAGCTCTGGCGCTCCAGCCTGACACTCCTGTCCCCTGCTGAGTGCCCAGAGAGCAGGCAGCTTGCTATGGGGGCACCCAAGCAACCTCGTACCCGAGCCTCTGCGCTGTGTGTCTATTCACACACACAGCCGTGGCTTGGCGCTGTCCCCACTCTCTATTCATTGGCTCACTGGCTATGATTGACAGTAGCAGAAGCCAATGACTTCCGCTGCTGTATCAGCAGATGAGGAGGGAGAGTTCCCGGAGAGCTGAGGCCCTCGTGCATATTGCTGGATCACGATGGGGGTCAGGTAAGTATTAGGAGTACTGTTTAAAAATTTATAGTAAATAATTCAAATGTTCTGTCCCTTATCTTTGGGCATGAAATTAGAAGGGATTGCTCTGTGAAATTTCTATAAAAACATTCCTTATAAGAAGTCCTGCTATGTAAACTGTAAATCGAATTTGTTAAAGGTTTTTATACACACTAAGAAACTTATGTGAAAATCATTATTTTTATTAATAAAACAACATTTTCCACTCCTACAATAATACAGCCATGGTTGTTTTATTAAAATGTCTTTATTTGTGGCATCAATAGTGTTCATTGAACAGTCTCTTACCTGTGTTTGTGTTGATAGCATTTGTTGGCAGGAACGTAATTCTGACCAGTGGTTGCATCATTGGTGCGTGCTGTCAGGTGGACACTTGTGAGGTTATTCCGGAGAACACGGTCATATATGGATCTGACTGTCTACGCAGAGTACAAACTGAGCGTCCACAGGTCAGTATGAACCTCACAGAACCCTATTATTATTTTGAATGTGCTTGTGAACTTTAGGATTATTTGAATATTCCAATCTATGGGTGGCTGACTTGTGTTTCAAAGGTGCAGGCACTAGGGTATTAGTATAGCTTTTAGTCCATATGCAGTTTTATACTGCAACTGGAGAACTTCAGCATTAAACCTCAACTCCAACCATTTTTTAAAAATGTTCCCCAGCAAGTGTTTTTACATAAAAAAGCAGCTCTGGTTGCAATACTCACTTCCTGTCCAATGATGTGCCCCATAGTTATCCCTTTTCACCACTGGATGTCTTTACTCTGCCAGGTTGAAAGATACCAACCGTCATTCAACCCGAAAGACCACATACTGTCAAATTAGGGCTTAATTGATCCCCTCCAAATCAGACACACACCCCTTAGGCAGCATGACTGTTGCGGCCTACACTCACAGCATAATGATGAAGGGAGCAGCACTAACTTTGTCACATCAGCTCTGCTCTCTGTGTTATTGTGGACCACCTGAAGAATAGGAATAGGACCCTGCAGCATCACATGACTGGGCTGTGACTTCTGGGAAGGGTAAGTTAAATTAAACTTAATGAAAAAATAGTGCAGCGCTATAGTGAATGGGTGACCTGAAAAATGGATAAAACAATGAGTGACTTGCGTGAGAAAATTATTAGTGCATGATTAACAAAATAATATGAACAATCAATCTCTTATGTATAGTGTCCAAAAATTGTAAATAAACGTGACATCGAGTGATGAGTGAATCCGTGACAAATCTTCCTCCTAATGCACTCACCAGAAACATGTAATGAATGCGCATTCAAAAGTAGAAAAACTCCTCCAGCAGGTCAACCGCATCCAACCAGCGCCGTGATGTCAGCACGTAGGCTCCTCTCTGATGCGTTTCGTGCACATGCACGTTGTCAAAGGGATCCCTTTGACAACGTGCATGTTCACGAAAAGCATCAGAGAGGAGCCTACGTGCTGACATCGTGCCGCCGCGTCCATACGATGGTCCGGCGGCCATCTTTGTAAGTGGATTACATTTGTTTATGGTCCACGTGGATGCTTCTTCATATTTTAATAAAATTTACTGCATCATTAGTGGTTTTCTTTTGGGTCTTTTGTGAGCGGTTTCCTTCAAGGTTGGGCCATTTTACTTCCGAGAATCGAGCCACCTTTTTGGGGAACCAGCTGTCGTTGTTGAATATAAGCTGTGCATACCTTTTACCTGTACCTGGCAGTGGATTAGGTTGACCTGCTGGAGGAGTTTTTCTACTTTGAATGCGCATTCATTACATGTTTCTGGTGAGTTCATTAGGAGGAAGATTTGTCACGGATTCACTCATCACTTGATGTCACGTTTATTTACAATTTTTGGACACTATACATAAGAGATTGTTCATATTTTGTTAATTATGCACTAATAATTTTCTCACACAAGTCACTCATTGTTTTATCATTTTTCACGTCACCCATGTTGTTCACTATAGCGTTGCACTCTTTTCATTATATGTTTGTGAGGATAAACGTGGGTTGTCTTTTTGTGCTAGCAGCTGTGATTTTTTTTTTTTTTTTTTTTTTCTCCCTGAGCACTCACTATATCCTTCTTTTTACACATAAAAAAAGCTTTAAGAAACATAAAAAAGCCTGTGGTGGGTCCTGAGTTGGGCTTCAAAAACAATAATAAAGTAGCAGATGTCCATTGTGGTGAGGGGATGGCCTCAGCCAGCACCTTCCACTGTACACCACTTTGCAGTGAAGCAGCTTTGTCCCATGCCCTGTTTGCATATGGGTATTGCTTTTCTATAATTGCAGTCCCTTTAGATTCTATGGAGTCTGCATTTGCAAACCTGTTAGCTTCTATGGTGTGTCCCTCTCTGCAGACAGCATATGTTCTAGACCTACAGTATATCAAAGTGCCAAGTGGTGCTTACGGTGGGAAGTTAAATCTCTAGTTTATTTTCTATTATTTTGTATCATTTATAGAGAAGAGGCTTATTTGAGAAAGCTTTAGTCTCATCAACTTTTTATTTGAGTCAACTGAAAATAATTTTCACTTTCTTTTTTCAAATTCTTATCCTGGTTTCTTCGTTTTATGAATTGAGCCTAATGCCTTTTAAACACATTGACAGTAATATTTTATACAGTCACATTTATTATTTTCCTTTTGAACAATGCAGCCACAAACTCTTCAGCTGGACTTCCTGATGAAGATTCTACCAAACTATCACCATCTTAAGAAGACCACAAAGATCAGTTCAACTCCAATGAAAAACTGAAGATGCACTAAAACACTATATAGGCTTCATGTGGATTGCCATTCCCTAACCCCACATCTTTTACATAATATTCTTTTAGTTTTGTTGCAATACTAATTATTTATATTTTTCTGTTCTATGTGTCTTATGATAAATTTAAAATAAAACATATAAAGTGTTGGCAGACTGTTTGATAGAAGCAATATTTATAGCAGTTTAAGCCCAGAAGCATAAATGGTAACATGTTGCAGCTTTCCAATCCTTAACCCTTCATGCCTAAAAGTAAAAGAAATCTTAAAGCCTAAGTAAAATTTTACAACTTTGACATTTGTTAGTAAAACCGTACATATCACAACTACTTTGTACATCATCCAGGTGGATTATACCTTTTTTTTTTTTTTTTTTTTCATTTTTTTTCAGGACAAATTGGGCTTTCATTTGGTGGTAAATGGTAATGGAAATCCCCTTATTTATTTTTGTTATTATCAAAGGAAAACTGCCCCAAAATAGTAAAAAAAAAAAAAATTTTTTTTTTTTTTAAATTTAGCTGTGTTTCTTGTTACTATCAAAACCTACCACCAAAGAACCCAAAATAAATTTTCTAGCTCTTGACGATCGCAGCGATACCGTATGTGTATTTTGTTTGTACCCGTAGTACGGTCCAGAAACAATAGTGCGCATTTTTTTATTTTTTTTACCTAAAACACACTGACACCAATTTTAAAAAATTAAAAATAAAAATCCTGACCTATTTGGCTTTGACCTTTTGATCCTGATCTTGACCCAAACACTAACCCTGTCACTGAACTAAATCAAACCTTGATCTAGGTATTTTTTCTACTATTTTTTTAATATTTATTTTTATTTGATTTTTTTTACAAACAGTTTGTATTTCTTTCTCTGTCCTTGCAGAGAGAAAAAAAAACGTATCTCTGTCCTCCGTTCAGATAGGAGAAAAAAAAAAGGGAGGGTGAGCTTCACAGTGACTGATCACTGTGATAGCCAATCAGAGGCTATCACAGCGATCGTGACCCAGAATTTGGGAGTCCCAGGTCCCGATTGTTGGATTGGGACCTGAGGCTCTCAGTGACGCCCCAGTCTTTGTGTAATAATATGAAGCCCCCATGAAAAAAAGCCCAGTTCTGTGAGGCCACATATTTGTGTTGCATTGGAGCCAAGGGGTTAAATGTGGTGGCTGGATCAGTTTTCTTTTTTTTTTTTTAGGCTATTTTTTATTTTATTTTCACCTGCATATGCCAGTAACATATTTCCTGTATTAGGCTGTTTCCAGTCTGGATGGAGGAACAACAGAGACACCTTTTGGACAACAGCATTGTCAGTCTGTGGGAAGGGTAGTGTTTAGATGCATAAATGCAATAAAAATGATGTGGCGCTCATTAAAATCAAATATATAAATAAGTGACCACACAGTGTCGCAGGGTGGAGAGGCCATTGCAGCCATTTTGGGATCACATCCGGGGTGTGTTTGTTCACCCACATTCCTCCTTTGTGCATGACCAGAAGGAATGCGACACTTATTGAACTGTTTTGTTATTATTGTTTTTGCCATTACTATTGTTTTATTTACACTGAGGCTATTTCTCTGATCCCATCATAGAGATTCACTTAATATTGGTTTATGTCCCTTATTGGGTACCAGGGGGTCACAGATATATCATCCCCATGTGGATTGGGAGTCACCCTTTTCAGATTACTCACCATTTACAGTCCAACATAGGACCTGATACGTGTGTTCATCACTGTGTGGTCACTTATTTATATATTTGATGTTAATGAGCGCTACATTTTTATTGCATTTATGTTTTGTTGCCTAATGGTATATGATTAGATGTCAGCTGCTTTTTAGCATTTACACTTTTTTGATACATTACATAAGAGCGCAGGAGGACTCTCTGATTTCAGTGTTTAGATGCAGATTTTATAAGGACTTGACTAAACAAATTAAATTTGAGCTCCAGCTAACACTTTTAAACAATACACCAACATTTTTTTCCTTTTGGGATAAAGGTTTTACATAAGTGGATCATTGTAAGCACCCCTCTCAGTGGTAAAGCTGAATTCTAGATATAGATATGTACAGTTACATTGGTCCAGTTTGTATACATATTCTGTGGAAGAGTAGAATCACTGTAGTAGCCACCACTATAATGATTCTCACTATCTTCTAGATCCCGTGCTGAGCAGCTGCTGTGCTCCATAGTAACCACAAGGGGTTGTTCGCTTTATCAGAGCATGCACTGGAAATTTCTCAATAAATACAGATTATTTTCTTATTGGAAAAAGTGGAGATCTTGACCTCACTGCCCTGCCTCTCCATCTCCTCCAATCAGATAATGCTTTGCAGAGAATGCTGCTTGTGAATTTGTTTATTACACTCCATCCCATTCTTTTATATAAAGTATAGTTCGGTCAGTGGAGGCTATAAATTGATACAATATAATACCAGAATTTGCTGGATGTATTGTAATGAGGAAAAGCAAGCTTAAAGTCCATTCCATGTAAAACTAATATTTCATATGTTGGTAGATGCTGGGGACCTAAACCACCTGACATGTCTTATACCTATCGGTATTCTATTGGCGGTGATATATATATGTTCTTAAAGTGGAGCTCCAGTTTCCTTGGCAGTTTTCTCCAAAAGGCACCCCTGTGATTCTATTTAGTTGCCCAATATAAATAAGATACTGTTATAAGTGTATTTCTTCTCCTTACTTGTAAATATGACATTCATCACAGGATCCCAGCAGACAGGAAGCGGCCATTACTAGTGTGGGCACTGAAGCCCGCTTCTACTTGCTTCTGGGATTCCGTGCACCTGGATACCCAGCATGCACCTCCCAATTTTGCGCCTGCGCAGTAAGGACAGGGCGCCACACTGTGTTGCTTACAGATTGCCATAACAATGGCAGTGTTGCCGGAACTTCCCACCCTGATGTTATGGCAACCTGTCAATCCATACCTGGAAGGAAGGTAAGTGCAGTTTGAAGGTTCCTGAGATAGATGACAGCGATATCCCAGAAGCCCTAGGCAATTGCCTAATGACGAAATCACCTAGGCGGCCTGGCCTGGAAGTGTAGACTACATATAGAAAAATAAGGTATTTAGAAAAAAAAACAAATAACTGCCATAACAGACTGTTCGGTGGGCAAGCATTGTGTTGCAAGGAACATGAAAAAAATGGGCGGAACTCCGCTTTAAGTCTGCACACTGCCTGTGGCCATTTTACATAGGCGTTGTTAATTGGATCCTGTCTAAACTGTCCCTAGTATGTGTATGTATGAATGTAAGATAGGGACCTTAGATTATATGCCCCTTGAGGGTTAGGTACTGATGTGAATGTACAATATATATTTAATGAGCTGCGTACATTGACGGCGCTATATAAGTACCTGTAATAAATGAAAATAAATAAATACAAAACTTGCAAGTGGTCAGCACGGAGAGAGAAATTATGGTAGGGAAATTCCACTACTGAATTGTCTAAGATGTACAATCCCTGACAAAAAGGAAGGAATCGCCACTCTTGGAAAATGTTCATTTAATTGTTCAATTGTGTAGAAAAAAAATTAATCACAGACGTGCCTCAAAACTATTTTCATTTAACATTCCAACCTTCTGGGTTTAAGAACCACAAAAAAAATTAAAAAGAAGAAAGAAGTCCGTTGCAACTGTTTTTGCAGATCAAGCAGAGGGAAAAAAATATGGATTCACTCAATTCTGAGGAAAATATTATGGAATCACCATGTACCATATTTTCTGGCGTATAAGACGACTTTTTATACTTAAAAACATACCCCAAAAATCGGGGGTCGTCTTATGTACGGGGTATACAATGTGAATCTTTAGTTCGTTTGGGCCAAGCTGGCTCAAAACGAACGTCCCTAATCTGTCAGCCCACTGGATGTGCGGTAATACTGTATGTACGATAGCTTTGGCTACATACAGTATAGTGCACTGAGCCAATCACGGCGAGCGATGTATTCTATTAAAAAATACAGAGCCTGCTCGGATTGGCTGAGGTTGTGACATCAGCCTGCGTCTCTGAATCAGCCAATCTGAGCAGGCTCTGTATTCATTAATATAATAAATTGCTCGTTGTGATTGGTTCAGCGCAGTATACTGTATGTAGCTGAAGCTACCATACATACAGTATTACCGCACATCCAGCAGGCTGACAGATTAGGGACGTTTGTTTTCTGCCAGCTTGGCTGAGAGTGGTATACTGTATATATACTGTATACTGTGTGTAGCTGAAGCTACCATACATACAGTATTACCGCACATCCAGCGGGCTGACAGATTAGGGACGTTTGTTTTGAGCCAGCTTGGCTGAGAGTGGTATACTGTGTATATATACTGTATACTGTGTGTAGCTGAAGCTACCATACATACAGTATTACCGCACATCCAGCGGGCTGACAGATTAGGGACGTTTGTTTTCTGCCAGCTTGGCTCAGAGTGGTATACTGTATATATACTGTATACTGTGTGTAGCTGAAGCTATCCTACATCCAGTATTACCGTACATCCAGCGGGCTGACAGATTAGGGACGTTCCTTTTGTGCCAGTTTGGCTGAGAGTGGTATACTGTATATATACTGTATACTGTGTGTAGCCGAAGCTATCGTATATACAGTATTACTGTACATCCAGCGGGCTGACAGATTAGGGACATTTGTTTTGTGCCAGCTTGGCTCAGAGTGGTATACTGTATATATACTGTATGTATCCGAAGCTATCGTGTATACAGTATTACCGTACATCCAGCCGACTGACACATTAGGGACGTTCCTTTTGTGCCAGTTTGGCTGAGAGTGGTATACTGTATATATACTGTATACTGTGTGTAGCCAAAGCTATCGTATATACAGTATTACTGTACATCCAGCGGGCTGACAGATTAGGGACGTTTGTTTTGTGCCAGCTTGGCTCAGAGTGGTATACTGTATATATACTGTATACTGTGTGTAGCCGAAGCTATCGTACATACAGTATTACCG